AAAAAGTATTTTCTTACAATTAATGAAAAATATTAAGCACAAACAAAACTTTTTTAACATATCAAATTAATATAAAGGACAAAGATAAAAGATAAAGAAAAAATTTTTTTGTATTATAAAAAATCTAAACAGTTAATTTCTCATGTTTTATATTATATTTATATTATATTTTTGACATGATTATTAATTTATATATTAATGATCACGCATGTTATAACATTGATTAAAAAGAATTCTAAGAATAATAATTCAATCTGGAAAATATATAAAACAGTAAAATATAAAAATTTGAATAATTTTTTTATAATAAAAATTATTTTAATATTTTTATTATTGAAAACAAACAAATATTAATATCTTGGAATAAATAATTTAGTTTTCCAGATTTTATCAAATATTTCAGTAGTAAAATATTGTCATTTTAATAAAATTAATTTCGTAATTTTACAAAAATTGTTAATGAACAAAATATTTAATTATTAAATTAAATTTCAATTTACAATTTTAATTTCGTATAGGATTTGAAAACAAAAATTTATAATAATGAGTTTGATTATAATTTTATGTTAAATTATATTTAATAATTTTATATTTTTTTTTTTTTATAATTTCTCTATTTTCTTTCTTGATATATCAACAAATAATTTTTTTTCCTAATGATAAACAATGATATAATTCAATGAAAATTTAATTCAATTAAAAAAATATTTATAAAATATTTAATTTTATTCATTTCACTGAGTTTGAAATATATTATTAAGATCATTTAAACAATTTCGTCCATAGATATAAGTGCCTCAAGGCTTTTATTACAAAAATTATAATTATTTTTATTATAGTAAAAGTATTTTATATAATAGTACTAATCGTAATTTTAAAATTTGAAATAAATTTGAATTAGATTCTGGTGTAAGCAAGTTGTTTTAAATATAATAAATAGATTAACTTTGAATAATAAATAAGAAAGGTTTCAATGGCCTTGTTATGATGTTAGGTCAATGACTTGAGTAATTTCATTTTTACATTCAAATAAAATAATTAATAAATCGTGTTATTAGTTTAAAATGCTAGTTTATAAGAAACACTAAATATAAGTAAAACACATTTATTATGAGTATAAGTAAAACTCATATTTGCTAATATATATTACAACCTAAAAGTACAAAGTTTTGCAAAGTAAAGACTACATTGTAGGTATGTAAAAATGAATCTCACAATGAAAATTATTCAATCTAATCATATATAAAGAATTTGAACAAAAGATTTTATATTTCATATTTTGTAAAATTTTCTTTGCCATTTTCTAATATTGCTCCAAACAATTATTATTTGATGTTACTAATTTTTTAATGTGTTTTCTAAAAATTCTTTTTTAATATTATAACACCTCTTTTGATCTTTTTCTATTTTTAATATTACCAAATTTTTATCCTCAATTTATTCTTTTATTATATTTCATATATAGCTGGCGAAGTAAAAATTATAATTATTTTTTAATACTTTTCTGATGGATATTTTCCATGACACAGTTTTTCCAGTGATTTACTTTAATTTTATTAAAAATATCGATCATCGTGATTGTTTAAAATTTTTTTCCATTTATTTTTTTTTTTTTTTCCTTTATTTGATACGAGATTTTCATTTTGCTATTTTTTTAAAATATACGGTGCGTTTTATGAAATTATACATATTAGATATAATTAGATATAATTTATATATAATATAATAATATAATATAATAGATCATATGTAGATGTAATATCATTATAGGTCATTGAAATCGTTGAACACAATCATTTTGTAAATAATTATTTTTAATTTGATCAATATTATATTCTGAAATTTTAGATTTATTACACCTTACATAACAAATCCAAATCTTACATTTTTATTTTTATTTCAATTAAATATTTTATGAATAATAATATTATATTAATAATATGAATTATTGTGATTTGCAATCTATATTTAAATAAACGTGAAATCGTGATGCTATAGTGATTAAAAAAAGTAAAAATATGTAATATATTAAACATACAAACATATTTCTTACACTGTATTATATTAAATACATTTGTAACATTGTATTAATACATACAAATAATAGTAAATTATTTTTTAAGAAAAGTTAGAAATAAATTGTTAGTTCTATAGTATATAATAATGCTCAAAACTTCTCTGGTCAAATTTATATTTTATAATATTTAAAAAGTCAGAAACAAATTCTTGTGCTAAAAAATATGCAACATTAAACTCAGAATATGAATAAATAATAAATTCTATAATCACCTTAATTATTTTTATTTTTTATTGTTTTCTAAACATATTATTTGCTATTATATTTTTGGTAAATTTTTCATATTAAATGATTTAACATTAAAAGTTTTTATAAGACTTTAATGTTTATTTTTATTATTGTATATGATTTATGAAAAATAATCTTATCGATAGATTAAAACAGAAGATCTAATGAAAATGATATATGCATATTTTGGAATTTAACAAAATAATTATATCTTTTTTAAAAAAAAAAAAAAAAAAATTAAGAAATTATTATTATTATAGTATATTCAAATCCAGAGATACCTAATTAGAGTAATAGTAAAATTATATATACATTCCAAACTTCGTTTATTAATTCTATATTGTTCATAGAAAAAATAATTTTTTAATTTTAATTTACGATTTCACATGTGATTTCTATGTATTATTTCAACATTCCAGTTGCAGCTATATTATTTATGTATTTAATATTAGTATGATTAATTATTATATAAATATGTACGTATAAAATTCTTTTTTTCAAACATTAGAAATTGCACTTTTTATAACTGAATATCTTTTATTTTATGTAAAAAATTGTTAATTTGCTAAATGAAAAAATAAGAATGATTAATATAAAAAAGAAAAGATAAGAAAATGTAAAATAAATTTTTTCATGCAAAATTTTATATATTCGCATTTTATAATCATATTTGTGAATTTGACAATTGTATAGTTTAAATATTGTATCCAATAAACTTTTTTACATTATTTACTTTTCATTATTAATATTGTTATATCATTCCTTATGCATCGATATGTTAAAATTTTATTTCTAATTCTACTTTACATACTACATAACTGGAAGCATATTTTTTTAATATTATTTTTAAAATTCTTTTTCAGAATAATAAAAATTCCATAGTTACGGCATTTTATATAATGAATACAATAGAAGTAAAAATAGAGAAAAAATAGTAGAAAATCGTAATCTAATATTATTAAATGATAATTAACAATTTTATCATTATTTAATCAATTGATCTAACAGAGTTAGATCAATTGATTTGTTTCTCAAGGAGAACATTTAAATACGCAATGAATCATTTGATTAGTGATGTTATTAATCATTTATTTTTATTGATATTGTGTAGAAAAATTTTGTTTCACGTTAATACGAGATTTTAAATAATGGAAAATGATCGTGTAAAAATCTTATAAATTAGAATGTAATATTTTGATATATCACATTCCTTTTTCCATTTTTACAAATAACGAATAAATTATTTTGAAACATTTTTCCAAAAGCAATAATAATTTTACATAATGATACATAATAATTTTATTCGAGAAAACTTTTGTTCTTATTTATGCGTGTTAATAAAAAAAAAAAAAAAAAAAAGAAAAAGAAAAAACTTAGTATCAATTAATATCTCTGTCTATCCACTATTGCTCAAGAATAACGATCATTAAATGTATTGATATTATGCGATCGGAAGTAGTACAAAACTACTACATAGAAAGTTTGCCATATAACAGCTTAATCAAGTTGATAGGTGTCGGTGTAAACACGTGGTTTTATCGTTCGTTTAAAACTTTCTCTTTCGTTGGTTATTCTTCTTTTTGTTCGCGCGTAAATGGACGGATGCGTCGAAAACGAGCGATTTAATTTAGTAGGCAGCCAGTTGTATACAACACGATGGCTGAAGCATTTTTTCGTCAAAGGTTCGCATTCGCGCGCTTCACGTTCTCTCTACCCGAAGCACTTTTTTTTCTTCTCTTTGGCCAACGAAACAATTGGTCAGGGGTGAGCGCG